GCTGTCATCAGGTCTCTGGATTAGTGCGGCTGTACGACTTTTTGCGTGATTTGATAAGATCATTTTGTTCTCGAGTAGAAACAAACGCTCGTCGTTTGGCCCGACGGTTGCCTGGAAATAAGGCAATTCCGACATGGCTCTTCCCGTGCAGCGGCAAAGGAAAGACAACTGTGATAATTCGTTTGATTAGGTGTTATCGTCGGCTTATGTCACCGCGAATGATGTCCAGCATAATTTCATCTCAAGACTCAACCAGCTGAGCATGCCTTGTTGGCGGCAGGACAGCGGTTCTTTACATACCGGGCGGCGTCTCTCATTAATGAGCTGCTTGGGGATGTTCGAAGACTGAATTCAACAAGTCTTGACCGCACTGCCAGGTCCTTTTGTGTACGGTAGGGCAGTCTTATTCTGTTTGTTCGTGCATGCGTTTGTGTTTTTTACACCTTATCACTTTCCGTTATTTTTTGGCATACCGTTATATTTCCCAGACTAATAACACATCATAGCAACGAATGTATGTGAAGCGTCAGCTGAGGTCAAATAATAGTGATAATAAAAATAATAATCATCATCATAAAACTCCACCCAGTTGCCAGCTGATCAAGGCAAAATTTATTCCTTAAATTTCATACTTGGATTAGTCTGCAAACTTTTCCACAATCTACCGAATGCTAAGGAAGCTATTGCAACCTTGGGATGTTCTTTGGCTCGACTTGAATGTAACGTCATCACTGCAGTAGCACCCCATCTCTAGAACCGCTTGTGCCCGATTTATTTACACACTGGCACAAAAAATGCATGTTTCTCAAGGTCTTACACTAATGTCGTTGATCAAATATTGTGCTCGTATTCACCAAGTGCGGCAAACCATTCCATTCAAGCAAAACGCATTTCCCTTTAAAACACCAATATCACAACTTGGTATCACAGTCGGTAGAGTGGTATACTGGAAACTGGAGTGCCAAGCGTTATGCGCAAACAAAGGTTTCGAGCTCGGCTCAGTTGTCCAGCGCAGCGGCTCTGGCTGTAAACGCTGCCACCTGAGCGGAGCTGTGTGAAATAACGCTCGAAAGATAGAGCAAACCATCAGCCTCGCGATGACTACACCAAAGACACCATGTGGCGCGCATCCGGACGTTCCCGCGTTGTGGAGCTCCGACAGAAAACACCCGAAAGAAATGGGCAGCAAACGCAAACGCTGCGAACAGCAGCGCGGTAAATGTTACCGATGAGGAAGTGTAGTTTTCGAGTGCAGTCGCCACACCAAGTGACAGCAACAAGCGTCAAATTCGTCAGAATGTCGCCGCGTCGTCACACGGAGCCGAGCCGCTCTGACTCGAGGCTCTCGGTCGCCTCTCGAAGGGTCAATACCCGTCCGCAACACCTGGCGGCCACCAGCTGTTCTCCCGCCGCGGCGACGCTGACAGGGACGGCGCCGGAGCGCTGACGCTGACAGGGACGGCGCCGAAGCGCTGACGCTGACAGGGACGGCGCCGTAGCGCTGACGCTGTCAGGGACGGCACCGGGCCGGCGGAGCGGCCCGCGCTCCGCGCCGGGCCGGCGAAAGTCGCGAGTGTCCACCGATCGCTGGCAACAGCGTTGGGTGACCAGCCGCGTCGCTTTCGTCAGACATCGGCGAGCTGTCCTGTGGTGCGGCGTGGCTGGACAGGTGTGAGATCTGGCGGGCCGACCGCTGCGTGTCGGCAACACTCCGGTGGGCTACCGCCGCGTGCCAGCGACACTCGGGTAGGTTACCGTTGCGTACCGGCGACACGCTGGTAGGCAGCCACTGCGTACCAGCGACACTCTGGTAGGCTACCGCCTCGTGCCAGCGACACTCTGGTAGACTACCGCCGCGTGCCAGCGACACTCTGGTAGGCTACCGTTGCGTACCGGCGACACACTGGTAGGTAACCACTGCGTGCCCGCGACACTCTGGCGGGCTACCGTTGCCTGTCGGCGACACTCTGGCGGGCTACCGTTGCCTGTCGGCGACACTCTGGCGGGCTACCGTTGCCTGTCGGCGACACTCTGGCGGGCTACCGTTGCCTGTCGGCGACACTCTGGCGGGCTACCGTTGCGTACCGGCGACACTCTGGTGGGCCGACCGCTACATGCCGGCGACACTCTAGTGCCCAGCGGCGGGCCACCTAACCCGGCCTCAGCTTGGGTCCACCCACAGCCTGGTCTGACCCGCCGCGGCCTGGTTTCGTTCCTCCTCAGTTGGGAACTTGGGCCAGGTTGGCCGGATCGGTCAATAGCCGCGACCATGCTTACCTGTATCGCGCGCCTTGTGTTGTCCTTGCCACGCATACGGTGACAAGCGCCAGAGCCAGGCTCCCACAGACCCAGGTAACACCTGCCGACGACACAATACAGACAACGCAGCCACCACCTGGCAACAGCGGCTGCTTCCATACTGTGCCGTCGGTGGCAGTTACGGCGCTGTCGACAACGGTACGGCGACAAGACGGACGCTGCCAGCGCTCCCGAGGCGACTCTCCCAGGACCACCAGTGGCGTTCAAACCGACAGTTCTGACAGCCCCCTCGATAACGCCACCGGTCTCCCCTGATGACGTTCTCGGGTGGTCCTCACTACATTGCCGATGCCGCTGACAGCACGGCCGGTCTCCCTGAAATGACGCCCTGGCTACGCTGCGCTGCGGCAAACGGCGCCCATGAGCCACTCATTCAACGGCAGCCGGCTGAAGCCGAGCGAGCAAGCGGCCCCGACCAGCCTCAGTCTGCCTGCAACAGCCCCGGCTGAAGTCGAGCGGGCGAGCGGCCCCGACCGGCCTCAGTCTGCCTCCAACAGCCCCGGCTGACTTTGGCGGCGCTCAAGTGTACCTGAGAGCTGTCGGACGCCGACAGCGACGCTCGCAGGTGCTCGCTCCGAGCGCTGAGTCGAGACAAGTGTGCGGTGCTTTGTTTTTTAGCCCGGTGATGGACGACGGAGAATACTCGGACACGCCAGGAAGGCGATTTCAAGAGAGGGTGATGAACCGTTTACAACCATTTAAACTTTTTCGACACCAGAAAAATAGAGATGGGCATAAAAAGCGGCAAAGGATGTGAACCCTGGCTCGTTTGTTTCGTATTTTAATGTACGTCGAATACTTAAGCGCAGGTGACTGAGCTCCCAAATGTGTTCAAGAAATTCGTTCCTTCGAACAGAGAAGAACATTTGGAACGTCTGAAGGAAAACGATAACTTGATCAATGATGTTGGCCATCGGCCTTTATTTCCGTATCACGCGATCAAAATGTGCGGTCATGTTTAAAGAGCACGGGAAATATGTGGGGTAGTCGACTTAGCTGATAGTATGCTTATGATGCGCTCTTCTAGGCATAATAGTAAACACATCGAGCCATATCTATGGAAATTGTTGGTGCTGTTGTACTTCCACCACTTTTTTATACACATCTAAAGCGTTAAGAAACAGTTTTTATGTGAAAAATTAAAGCACCCCCTTTGGATGGGGTGAGAACGGCTTCATCTCCTTCTTATTCAGATGACATCTTTTCACGGTTTTTGTTCTTCACACTGAAGTAATTCTATGAATTGGTGGCCGTATTGGCATTTGGCCATACAGGGCCGCATGGGAGGAAGGTGGTGCTTTGGATATGACACTGCCAGTTCGGATTTGCGCGTGACACAACATATTTGAGCACTTTTTGGGCGGATGCAGTTTTAATAAAGCTTAAGCGGGGATCATGGTTTGAATTGACCAGCGCCAGGTAGCTTGATCCAAGCTTAAGACATTCAAAAAACGTTATCCTGTTTTGGCTCGAGCTCAGAAATCGAGCTCAGAACCACCCAATCCAGCCTTATTTTCAATATTATCATGGATTCGGGTCTAGACGGTGAGTCCCATTGCGAGCTTCATCCATTGTTTCTTAAGTCTCTGTTTCCGAGCTCGAGCTCATTCTTTACATTCTGAATGAGTCGGGGTCATGGTTCCGAGTCGTAGAACCCTGGGTCCGATTCCGAGTTCATTGAGTTTCACAGCTACAAGTCCTAGTCAAAATGATAGTGCTAGGGAAAACCCTGAGCGCTTCAGCTAAAGCCACCAGCTTCTAAAGTTGACGGGTAGTCGTGGGGGGTTTAAGGCGCATCGACTGCTGTAGGTCATGCAGCACGGGTATTCGTGAGCATACATGCATACATAATGCAAACGAATACATGTATATATATATATATATATATATATATATATATATATTATTGGGTTGTAACTAGCGGCGGTTAGATGATTAAAGCTATCCCGGCACAATTATGTGTGCATCGTACCACAAGTTTACATTAGTGGTTTAGAAACAACCACGATGTTAGAAAGGGGCTAAAGTTGTTATATCTTAGCTGTTTTCAAGAAACTAAGCCATGAGTCGTTTGCGTTTATTGCTACGTTTAAGTCAGGTCACAATTCACAGGTTACTGAAACCTACCCAGAAATCACATTTTATCCGCACTTAGTTCAGAGTCTAAGTTCGAATTGTTGGTAATCCTGAATGTGATTTATCCGTTAAATGAATTAGTCTCCGTTCCACAGGGCCGCCAGTCCCGAATAAGTGTGCATAAAGCTTGGCCTTTTTCTCGGTGAAATGACAGACGTTAAGGTGTTTCGCATTCACTGCATTTTCATTTTCAATGAAGCACAAGGTCTTCTGCGTAAATGGACATCAAACCGCGTCATTTACAAAAAGATAATGAACGCTAACTGCGTTAGTCTTTAATGTATTCTTCCTGAAGTCTTCTTTAGGCTACACAGCTGCGCCACATGCCATGCCACATCCGTCTCGCGCCAGTGTGTGACGACCGTCGTCGGTGGTCCGGCGGCGTGCGCTGTCGACCGGCGCGACTAAGGTGTCGTGTTGGCCGGGCCGTTAGCCAGGGTCCAGGTCTGGTGCCGGCGCCTGTCGCTCGGCGTGGCGCCGACCCACCGGCCGCCCGTCAGCGCTCGTTCCGCACCACTTACCGGCCGCTGTCGCCCCGCCCGCAGGACGAGAACTTCGTGGTGTCAGCGCTCTTCTGCGCCGCCGAGGAGGGCAACATCGCCGGCATCAAGGAACTCTTTTCCATGGCCAAGATCGACCCCAACGTCTCCAACAAGGTGCGTCGATGTCAGCGCTTCCCCGACGTACGCGAGTGCATTGCGGGGTTCTAAGTGGGCTTTTGTTGCGTGATAAGGCAAGATCGGCAGGGGTTTTGGTTCCCTGGTATATTCCTACCCCCGTCGCTATCTGCCAACATGCCTAAAATAGTTTGATCTACAGCCGCTGTGTTATCCTCGGAAGACCCGCGACGCTCGGTAACGGCGTGCCCACCGTCACGCTAGGCCACTCACGGTCTGAGACTGGCCTGCTGGACACGAGTCGCAACGGTTGAGTTCAGTGTACAGTCACGGCTGGCAGCGCTTTCTTTGGAACATTCCCGGCGAAATGCTGGAGACGTCACACTGCCATCGATACATGCCCACCTGGCCGCGCCCACCAGCAGTACTGGAGATGAGCATGAACCATCAGGCCATCGGAAGTTAATGCAACAACTCACAAACACATTCTTAGCCGGAAAGGGGGTATAGGGGCTCTGTGACTCACTCAGCTGCTGTGACTATATGACGTTGCCTGCCTCTCACCCTGGCAGGAAAGGCGGACACTGCGGGGGATCGAGCCCGCACCTCTGGCTTCCCAGACGTTTCTTAGCCGCGCCTGCTGAGTGTTTATGGTACAGAGGACGTGGACAAGACTCCCACTCATGTATGAGACCCCATACATGAGTGGGAGTATGATCTCAGGTTCTCAGTCTCGTTAGCTCTCGTCGGCCTATGCCGTGTCAAGTCTAAATAGATTCTAAACAGAGTGAGCTCCGGGGAAATCAAGCAGCTGTGTACGCCACGCCCCACCGCACCTAACGTTATTCGGACCGAGCCGCGCACGCTGCCGGGTTATTTCGGCAGTTTGCTGGCGGTAAAAAACATCCCGCGGGAAAGTCTGAATTGCGTCGCCGTTTAAGTCTTGGGACACTTAGAATTTCGTCGCGAAGTGTTGGCTCAAGTTTGCCTCGGGGGTCGGGTGAAAGCTCCGTGGTGGTTATGAAAGCAAGGTGCGGAAAAGAGTGCCCGTTTCTGAATGACTGCTATTTGGTCCAGAAGATGAATACCATCTAATAGATTCCGTTTGAAATGAGTTGGCTAATGCCTTTGCGCTCCGGGTACACTGTACTGATTTAATTGGAGGTGTATCTGAACGGGTGTAATTTGCGCTCAATAAGGAGCCGCAGTTTGCGCACAACTAGAATGGGGGTAAGATGTGTCTCGTGCGAAGTATCGGTTTGACATATATCTCGTGTAGAGGATGAGGATGCCGTCAACATCGGGCCTGCGCTGTGTATGGTTCTTTATGGTCCTGCACTACGAAAACAAGTGTGGGGCTTTGGAAGGAATAGTTTTATCCGTGGTTTCCAAGGCAAGACGCTATCGGCCGTGGTTGCACAACATTTAAGAAGAGCATCTCGAAAGTATCTCCTCCTTATTTCCCGTGTGGAGAGGTCGCTCTCCTTCTGTAAGGGATATTTTTCGCCCCTGACGTTTGGCTTTCAAATGCATTGACAGCTCCGCTCGTCATGTGCGAAATATGGACATTTCGTATGTCGTAGGTACGAAATATGAGTATTTCGTGCCTAGTATAATGTGCTTCGTTTCCATTAAATGCGTTCTCTCACATCCCGGAACCATTAATCAGCGAAATTGTTGCTGGCGGCTTAATACGCAGTGGATTACAGTAAAAGACGCGCATCTTCACGGCAAGGTCATCCATTCCATTTTCCTTCCAGGCAACGCCGCTCCTCTGTGTGTGCGTGGGCGGAAGCATCTCTTTTTCTTGGCCACTGAGTAGGGCGTGATCCACGTCGGCAACCTTATTGTCTCGACCTTTGGTCAGAGCTAACACCGTTACAGAGTGGCCAATTCGCTGGCTTGAGGCCCGTCCCGTGGTGGCTGTTCGTGCCGGACGGTCTGCCCTGAGTTCGCTCTGTGGCCGCAGCGTGGCGCTTCCGTCGCCACTGCGCCGCGGCTGGCCGCAGGTCATTGCTGGGCGGATGTCGGAGCCTGCGGCGATGATAGGCTCTCCGCTGCGGAGTTCCGCAGGCGGCTCGCTGTGCGCTCCAATGGCGCCGGCAGATGGAACGATGGCCCAGTCCGTCCCGGAGGGCGGCAGATTCTCCGCATCAGGCACGCCATCGTGGCGCTCCGGCGCGACGGCGTCGTTGGAGACGCAATATTTGAGATGAGTTGTGAGCAACGGGAAATGGAACGAGTCCAGTTTGTTTGGTGCTAGGGGGGCGGCCTCCCAGAGAGGAACTCGTGTGATAACGTGTTTTTGCATCGCCGTCTCACCTTATCCCATATATGTATGGGGAGAATACAGCCGACCTCAACGCACCGTTGCTTGGCTTTATGCTTGACGGGCTTCAGTGGCCCCATTTTGTCTCGGAACGGACGCGTAATCACCCGCGAAAGACTCCGCGTCGGCGCATCATTTGTCACCATTGTCGCGGGCTTGACCGTGGCCGATGATCGTTTTTAGCGCGGCGCGTTTCCTGAATCAAGGCCTGTCGGTCCCCGCAACCGTTGCCGACGCTGAGTCCGGGCCTCCTGTTCAACCCTGTCCATGGAGTCCGGGCCTCCTGTTCAGCCCTGTCCAAGGAGTCCGGGCCGCCTGTTCAGCACTGTCCACGGAGTCCAGGCCTCCTGTCCAGCCCTCTCCACGGAGTCCGAGTTGCCTGTTCAACCCTGTCCACCTAGCCCGGGCCGCCTGTTCAGCCCTGTCCGCGGAGTCCGGGCCGCCTGTTCCGCCCTGTCCACGGAGCCCGGGTCGCCTGTTCAGCTCTGCCCACGGAGTCCGGGCCTCCTGTTCAGCCCGGCCCAGCGAGCGGCCGGGCAGGCACTGTTCAGCTTTCCTGTCGGTGGAACGGAGCGGAGCCGGGACGCAGCGCCGCCGTCAGCAGAGCCCAAACTCTCACGCCGCGCTGACGCGCGCTGATGGCTCTGAGAATATTACTGGCTGGAAAGGGCGCGTCATGGCTGCTGGAGCCTGAGCCGTGCGCAAGAATTCAGCTGAAGGTTACATTAGGGTAGAGATTTTGCAATGGCGGAAGCGGTATTCATTAAATATGAAAATTCGACCGACATGGCGGAGGGCGGAAGCCGGAAGGCTGGGAAGAACTGGGATAGGTATGCATTAATTATATGCGGGGTCTAACAGAGCACCTTAAAACTTGTTTAGTAAGTCATTAACTATTTTTAGTCAGTATATGTATTAGGTAACATTCGGTCTGCCCGACGGAGTAAAGTGTAATGTGGAAAATGGAGACCATAAAGTTTGGTCAGAGCATGGAAATGGAAACATTTTCAGTTGCATGACATTGCAACTCCCCTCACCGAGAGGTGCCTCACCTTTGGTTGGGCTGCCGATTTAACTGAACACTGGGGATTTTCCACCTGTCTGTTAACAGTTAGCTAATGTCAGTCGGAAAAGAGGTCACTCGACTGTTTTATCGATGTTTCCGAGTTTGACTGCCCAGAAGCCAGTTTATGGTGTTCGGAGCTGGGTTCGGTTGGAATTGGCTCTGGTGAGGTTTTCGGAATAAAGGGCAGTGCTTCTAGCTGTTTGGCAACGGCTGGTTGCCCAGACTGTCCCGCCTTCTCACGAGCACACGTGAATGTGCTGCCGACACATTCTGCGTCAGGTTGCGTGTCGTTCAATTGTTTCAAGCAGCGGTGTGTTTGCTTGTGACATTCCGCCCATAACAATGCCTGCGGTTTTCTTCCATGCGTGACACCACGAGAAAGCTAGAAATTAGGGAGAGAGTCCGGTGCCGGTGGGGCTTAGGTGACGTCCATATTTAAGATTTCCATGCCATTTAAACGAATGTTGTGAAGCGCCTGCATGGTGTTTCAAAAGCAATCTGTTCTCAAGCCGATACTCGCACGATGAGTTCAAAGTTCTTACCTTAAGTCTATGGCCTTCAGTATACCAGGAGGCGCTGGTTGAAAGACGTCGTAGTGCTAAGTATCGAGTGCATTGACACCCGTCTTTTTCCAATACGATTAATGTAATCAATACAATATTATAAATCAAAGTCAATAGAATCGTCATTCAGCATTACAGCGTCGTTAAACTAGTATCCCTGGTATCTTGAAGGTCGTTTACTCAATACGAGAACTTTGAGCTCATCATGTCGAAAAAGGGGGAGCTGGAGAGCTTTATTTCTTATACCGATGCTCGCACCCCATGGAGCGCAATGGCGTGCGCATGGCGGCATGCCCGAATCGGGGACGTCCGGCTATGACGAAAGCGTGGCGAACTAAACCGTGCAGCCTCGTCCACTCGCCTGACGCCTGAGTCCGCGTCCCGGGGTCCCGCGTCCTGGAGTTGCGTCCCACTATCTATCTATCTACAGGTGCCAGCCGAGAGTCCGGCTGATCGCCCCTCCATACTGTCCACAGGTGCCAGCCGAGAGTCCGGCTGACCGACCCTCCATACTGTCGACAGGTGCCAGCCGAGAGTCCGGCTGACCGCCCCTCCATACCGGCTAGGCGCGAAAGTCGCGGTATTTTTGGTAATCCTAGGATCCTGGTATTGCCGAATTTACAAACCTGGGATCCAGCGAAATCGCTGGATTAGGATGATGGTAGGTATACCATGTGATGAAATGAGCCGATGCTTGTATCAGAGGTAGCTGTATTTATAGCAAGTAAAGTGAAGGTAAATATATCGGCTGCTGAAGTCTTGCAACTACACGTGACTTCATGTGACCAAAAACACTTAACAATTCCAGTGGTCCTAAAGACCATACATGAAATGAGAGTTGTTCGCGTGTGGTATTACTTGTACACCGATTAGCTCGCAACGCACTCAAACCGCAAACGTTTACATGCCCACATAAGCAAAGCTTAGATCCTGACACTTCTTATCAAAGCTCCGTGGTACCCATGGTTTTATGGGTTGCCAGGCACCCTCATTTGATGTCCAGGTTTTGGACATTGTAGCAATATCTAACATAGGTTATCAGAAATATTGATTTAAGAAGTTCTGCGAAATATGCTCGATT